GCACATGTGATGCCCAGGGCTCATTCCCCAGCAGTACATAAAGCTGGGCATGGTGGTGCATGTATATAATCCTAGCACTCAGGAAGTGGAGGCAGGATTAGAAGTTCACGGTCATCCTCACCATACAGCAAGTTAGAAGTCACATGAAATGGTTTCTTAAAAAAGAAAAAAAAAAAGCTTGATCAGAAGCTTGTTTGAAGATCTGTGCACCTGATTTCAATCACTACTAGTCTCTGCTTGGTGTTTTCTTGACAAGTACCTTTTCATTATAAACCTTCCTGTAACTTGTGAATGGGGCAGCTACCGGAAAAGGATAGGTGGGGCCTCAGGCTTGGGGCCAGTCCTCCTCAGTCATCAATCACCCTTGGCTCTGACATGCTAGATATTCCTTGAGACCCTGACTAGGGGGTCTAATGCAAGTGTGAAGTTGCTCCATGGAAGGAAGTGGGTTGGCAGTGCCGGAGGATAACCAGGTGGAGTGGAAAGCGTAACTGCAGAACTGATAAGGGATTGCCAGAGGACAGCTGTCCCTTAGGAGGTAAGAATTATAGCACAGGACCACCAGGACTTCATAGTTGTCTCTCCCCGCCCCCCATACATACATACATACGTACATACGTACATATGTTTTCAAGACAGGGTTTCTCTGTGTAGCCCTGGCTGTCCTGGAACTCTCTCTATAGACCAGGTTAGCCTTGAACTCAGAGATCCATCTGCCTCTGCTTCCCAAGTGCTGGGATTGAAGGCATGTGCCACCACCACCCAGCTATAGTTGTCTCTTAATACCTAGCAATAATGTCCATCAGAGGGCATGGTAGTGCATGCCTTTGATGACAGCACTCCAGAGACAGAGGCAGGTGGATAGATCTCTGTGAGTTTGAGCCTAGCCTGGTGTCTACATAGTGAGTTCCAGGCTATCTAGGGCTACATAGATAGACCCTGTCTCAAGAAACTGAAAAAAAAGAGAGAGAGAGAGAGAGATGGCTCAGCAGTTAGAATACTGGTTGCTCTTCCAGAGGAGTCAGGTTCAATTCACAGTCCCAGAATGATGTGTCACAACCATCTGTGACTCCAATTACAGAAGATCCAACACTTGTTGTGGAACATTACTTTAACTAAGCAAATGTAGCTAGGTGTTACATTTGTTTATGCTGCATTTATTTAATTATGTAAAGATGTGCTGCTGTTTCATCTTGCCTGCCTAAGGCACATGATTGGTCTAATAAAAAGCTGAACAGCCAATAAGAAAGCAGTAGAGAGATAGGTGGGGCTGGCAGATGGAGAGAGTAAGTAGGAGGAGAAATCTAGGCTCAGGGAAGAAAAAAAACTCGAGAGAAAGAGAGAGATATGCCCAGGGCCAGAAACCCACCAGCCACCAGCCAGCCAGACATGAGAAGCAGGAAAATAGGACAGAAAGAAAGAAAGAAAGAAAGAAAGAAAGAAAGAAAGAAAGAAAGAAAGGAAGGAAGGAAGGAAGGAAGGAAGGAAGAAAGAAAGGAGGGAGGAAGGGTGATTAAAAAGCCCCAAGGCAAAACATAAAGAGAAACATTTAAAAAGAGCTAAGATAAGGCCGAGCATTTATAACTAATAAGTCTCTAACTCATTGGTGATTTGGGAGCTGGTTGGTACCCCAAAAGAAAGCCTGCTACAAATACCCATGTGATGCATATTCATACATGTAGCCAAAACACCCACAATAATAAAACATTTTTAAAGTAATAATGCCTACTAATAATGTATTCCATAATTCCCATGGATACCAAAACCCATGGATGTTAAAGTCCCTTAAAATAATACTTTTGTTTGTTTGCTTTGTTTTTGAGACACGGTCTAACTGTGTAGCCCTGGCTATGCTAAAACTCAGAGATCCAGCTGCCTGTGACTCCCCAGTGCTAAAGGCATGGGGCACCACACCCAGTCTTAAGATAGTATTTTTATATAAGTCACATGCATCCTTCCATATACTTGAAATTGCCTCCTTTGGAATTTTTTTTTTGGGGGGGGTGAGGGAAAGTTTAAGACAGTGCTTCTCT